TTTTTTTGGAAAGAAATTTTTTTTTTTTTTTTTTTTTTTTTTTTTTTTCTTTTTTTTTTTTTTTTTTTTTTTTTTTTTTTTTCCTTTACTTAAAAGTTTGATTGTTAATTGAAGAAAAATTTCTAAAAAAAAAAAAACAAATAAAAAAAACCCAATGATTAACGAAGGAAAAAAACAACAACAACATAATAAATGTTTTTAGAACTTTGTCCTTTCCGGTCACGTGACACAACAGACAGAAACATATCGTGAGTGTCCTGGAGAACACAATGGCCTCAGTGATCGCTGCAGCCAACAAAGCTGTTGACTTCATCCACCTGCACGTGCAGCTCTCTAAAGATGAGGTGAATGGAAACTCTGGTGGTGGTGGTGGTCGCCTCCGTTTGGTCTCGGGGTTGTCATGGGCGAAATAAGGTTGATACAAATTAGACTGACGAGCTACCCAACACACTAGCATGCACCGACACATTCAACTGGAATCCAAGGCGACATCTATCAACACATATAACTAAACGTCTCAGTACGTATTTAGCTACACATCTTACTACACACCTGTTTACACACACCCATCTTCGGGACTATGTAAATTTTACATAAACGATATATTGAACTACATATCGACACACTTATCTACACAGTCATCTAAACACTTGTCTACACAGATATCTACACAATTATCTACACACGTATGTACACAATTATCTACACAATTATCTACACACGTAAATATCGAAACATCTATCTACAACTCTTTGAAAAGTTTTATTTTACTCGCGTATCACTACCTCCATTTCCACATCTTTGTTAAAATATTACTATATTTAAACATCTAAAACACATCTATCCACCTAAGACTCCAACCCAAGACTTCGACCTAAGACTCTTATCCAACACTCCGACCCAAGACTCCGACTCAAGACTCCGAACCAAGACTCCGACCCAACACTTCGACCCAAGACTCCGACTCAAGACTCCGAACCAAGACTCCGACCCAACACTTCGACCCAAGACTCCGACCCAAGACTCCGACCCAAGACTCTGACTCAAGACTCCGAACCAAGACTCCGACCCAACACTCCGACCCAAGACTCCAACTCAAGACTCCGAACCAAGACTCCGACCCAACACTTCGACCCAAGACTCTGACCCAAGACTCCAACTCAAGACTCCGAACCAAGACTCCGACCCAACACTCCGACCCAAGACTCCAACTCAAGACTCCGAACCAAGACTCCGACCCAAGACTCCGACCTAAGAATCCGATTCAAGACTCCGACCCATTCCTGAGCTCAGATGGGTCGTTACCAGCGTGCCCCCCCCCCCCCCGTGCTTTAATAGTTAATTATGACATAAATGATTTGCATAGACGGTTAAGACTGCATAGGGCGTCATCCAAGACTCCGACCCCAGACTCCGACCTAAGAATCCGATTCAAGACTCCGACCCATTCCTGAGCTCAGATGGGTCGTTACCAGCGTGCCCCCCCCCCCACCGTGCTTTAATAGTTAAGTATGACATAAATGATTTGCATAGACGGTTAAGACTGCATAGGGCGTCATAGGGCATCATAGGGCGTCATAGGGCATCATAGGGCGTCATAGGGTGTCATAGGGCGTCATAGGGCGTCATAGGGCGTCATAGGGCGTCATTTTTGTGTCTTACTTTTCAAGCCCCCCACGCTGCCCTGAAGTTGTGTGACGTATGTCTATGTCACGTAACTACGTTAATGCAACATTCCACCTAACATTCCACCTAACAATTCACCTGATAATCCACCCAGAAATCCACAAGAAAATCCGTTTGCCAATCCTACCAACAATCCACCCAAAAATCGACCCTACAATTCACCCAACAATCCACTGGACAATCCACTTGACAATCCACCCAACAAAAGCCACCTGATAATCCACCAAAGAATCCACCCAGCAATCTACCCGCCAATCCACCCCCAATCCACCCAACAGACCACCTGAAATCCACCCAACAATCCAGCCATCAATCAATTGTAGGATGGATTGTTGGATGGATTGTTGGATGATGTATCCATTCATAAAATTAAACAACCCCTCATTACAAATGTTTTCTTAAAAATCCGTTATTTGCCTTTTTTTATTATTTCGTTTAATAAATTAAATTCTAACGACCCACCCGCGTTTACACCGCAGATTTATTTAGATCACCAACTATTTCCTAAAAACAAAAGAAAACATTGCGCACCAAACGCACTTGTGATATTCTTTAAAAGAATCTGATTTCGCGCAGTTATCGGGAATTTTATTTCATGGATGCAGTGTTATCATATTTTCCCTCATCTTCCCCTTGAAAAAACTGGAAAAACAAATTTTTAGCAGATTGGGTTTGTGAAATATAGTTGAAAATTTGAATATCTATGTGTCAAGTTTCAGCTCCATAGGGTGACGAAAAGAAGGCCAATTAGCCGTCCGAAGATTTGGACTAGACACGCAAAAGCGAAGTTAACATTAAATGATTTAAAAATGCCGTAATTTCATCTAGTAATTTTTTAATACATGGGCTGTAGTGCCACTGATGATGATGATTTAAATATATATAAAAAAATCGGACCTTTCCTTTAATCCTGCCGGCCTTTATGTTTTTTCTCCATCCATACATTCAATATGTACCCAACCATCTCTTAACACGTTCGCCCATACTTTCACCCGACCTGATACTGACCTCTGTGTGACACCACCAGGTACCGGTTCTGTACCACAATTTCAACGTCACGTTCTCCAGTTCGAAGCGATGCCAGGAGACGGAGACATATCACGCGCCCGTCAAGAACCTCACTGTTGACCAACTTCAATGTTTACAACTCATGGATTTTTCTAGCCCTGTGAAAAAAATGGTAATGTCTCTTATCACACCTCTTCGATCTCTGTGATGGAGGATGAATGTTGGTGTGTGTGCAAATGATCACAAATACGGTCTTTACCCACCTTGTTTAAAGACGTGATGTACTCAAAAAAAAAAAAAAAAAAAAAAAAGAGCGAATAAAAATTATAGTTAAAAAGTGGAAGTATGTTGTATTTATTTTATCACCTTTCTCGTGAACTAGCAAATGTTTTTATTCTGTCCAAAATGTCATTACATTTTACATTTTTATATTTTCCATCATTCTTATGTATCCTCATCATAACTGATTGTTGCCAGCCTTTTCCCGCAGTTGGAATCCCATGATAACAGCATCGGTTTGAGAAATCTTGTTACCTTCCCAACCCTGGCATCTTGCATGGATATCAGAAAAAACACTGGATTTGTCATTGAGGTGAGCACCGGTACATCTTTTCTACAGCGGTAACAGGTCAAGAAAAGATATCCGTCTGGGTAGACATTGAAGATCTCAGTCTGGATAGACATTTGAAGATGTCAGTCTGGTTAGACATTGAAGATGTAACTCTGTGTAAACATTGAAAATATCAGTCTGAGTAGACATTGAAGATCTCAGTCTGGGTAGACATTGGAAATGTGAAACGTACATTTTAACTTTATTAAAAAAAAACAAAAAAACAAACAAACAAAACAAAACAACAAACACAAGATTTTTTAAGCCTTATCTGCATTTGTTAATAATTTGTTTTTTGGCCCATGTGATACAAGAATACATTTAGATTGAATATCATGTAGTTATTTTCTGTTCCAGTCCTGATTCTAACATGATTTTCATTCTTCAGATCATGTATCCGAAAATGCTGGAAAACGGACAGCTTGAGTGTGGCGACTACTGTGATGGTAACAGAGTGGTGGACATAGTTTTGAAGACAGTTTTCGAGTTGTACGCCCACCGAAAGGTCATCCTGGTCTCATCGGACGCCGACACTTGCATCATGCTGCAGAAAAAGCAAAATCGGTTCCCAGTTATGTTCAAGGTCCTGGTAAGTCTTGCCGAACTCTGTCAGTAAAACACTCAAAGTCCTGGTTAATCTTGCTGGAGTCGGTCAGTAGAACACTCAAAGTCCTGGTTAATCTTGCTGGAGTCGGTCAGTAGAACACTCAAAGTCCTGGTTAATCTTGCTGGTGTCGGTCAGTAGAACACTCAAAGTCCTGGTTAATCTTGCTGGAGTCGGTCAGTAGAACACTCAAAGTCCTTGTAAGGCGACATCGGGTCCGTCAGTACAATACTGGACGTTCTGTTAAATACTGCTGGGTTCTGTCAGTAGGACACTCGATATCCTGGTAAGTCTTTCTAGGGTCTATGTAGAATAATGATATCGTGACACACATGGTGATACACATGGTCCATAACTTGACGCATAAAATTAGAGTCAGAGTTGAGTACCCACTCTGGCGTCATTGCACTACAATCGTCACAATGCATGCTTTTTAACTGATAAATGACACATTTTACATCATATTGCACTTTTTATTGTTTTTTTTTTTAAATTTTGAACCAGGATTCCAATGAGGCACGTGATGCAATGTATGACTTCCGGTCCAAGTCAATGGGTGCTGCGCTTGAATTTGCCGTATCTGAAAAACTGTTGGGAGTTGTTTTACCTGCCACGGATTTACTGGAAGATACCATTACCTTGAGCAAGGCTCTTAATATGGGACTGGTGGTACTAGTCTGGAGTGATAGGGCACTTACACCAGCCACCAAATCTTCTCTGGTAAGGTAGGTGACATAAGCCACTGTATGAATAAGTTCATTTCAAATACCTTATTTCAAGCTTCCACATACCTCGTTTCACTATTTCATTCATTTACATAGCTTGAAAGCAGTCCCTTCATTTATTTATTTCTTCTTGTGTATGAATAAGCAAAGTTGGTCGGTAGCAGTGAGATTATCCCATGTGTGAATAAGCAAGCTAAGTTAGTGGTGCTGCGATGATCCACTGTATGAATAAGTAAGGTAGGAATCTTTAGGACATTGCAGTTGATATGAATGCTACAGCAACAATGAAGTTCTTTTTTAGGTTCACCAATGTATAAAAAGTGAACACCCATACATTTTGTTGACAAGTTATGATAACTGCTACACACATAATGTTGTAGACTAATTTATGAAGACAATCACACACATACATTTTTTAAATAAAGCTATGACATCGATTACATAAGGACATATTTATAGCCTTGAAAGCGTATCAGTATTTTGAGAGCTATATTCTCGGAAATGCTAAAAGTTCCGGACTTAGTCCCGATCAACTATTGGAAACACATTTCCAAAGCTCACTTCTTATGGTACATAATTTGTTTACAATCTCTGTAATAAATTTCATCAATTCATGGTTATAAAAAAAATAAAGCATTGTAGGGATTTATTCTTTACACTGGCGTCGTGAAATATTAAACAATTTACATTTTCATAATTTTACTTCCATTTTCACTACAATGTGATTGGACATGATTGGTTTCAATAAAATGTGATTGGACATGATTTGTTTCAATAAAATGTGATTGGACATGGTTTGTTTCAATACAATGTGATTGGACATGATTTGTTTCAATAAAATGTGATTGGACATGATTTGTTTCAATAAAATGTGATTGGACATGATTTGTTTCAATAAAATGTGATTGGACATGGTTTGTTTCAATAAAATGTGATTGGACATGGTTTGTTTCAATAAAATGTGATTGGACATGGTTTGTTTCAATACAATGTGATTGGACATGATTTGTTTCAATAAAATGTGATTGGACATGGTTTGTTTCAATACAATGTGATTGGACATGGTTTGTTTCAATACAATGTGATTGGACATGATTTGTTTCAATAAAATGTGATTGGACATGGTTTGTTTCAATACAATGTGATTGGACATGATTTGTTTCAATAAAATGTGATTGGACATGGTTTGTTTCAATACAATGTGATTGGACATGATTTGTTTCAATAAAATGTGATTGGACATGGTTTGTTTCAATACAATGTGATTGGACATGATTTGTTTCAATAAAATGTGATTGGACATGGTTTGTTTCAATACAATGTGATTGGACATGATTTGTTTCACTACAATGTGATTGGACATGGTTTGTTTCACTACAATGTGATTGGACATGATTTGTTTCACTACAATGTGATTGGGCATGGTTTGTTTCACTACAATGTGATTGGACATGATTTGTTTCACTACAATGTGATTGGACATGGTTTGTTTCACTACAATGTGATTGAACATGATTTGTTTCACTACAATGTGATTGGACATGATTTGTTTCACTACAATGTGATTGAACATGATTTGTTTCACTACAATGTGATTGGACATGATTTGTTTCACTACAATGTGATTGGACATGATTTGTTTCACTACAATGTGATTGGACATGATTTGTTTCACTACAATGTGATTGGACATGATTTGTTTTGAATTTCTTAAACAGCATTTGACCTTGCTCATGCCTTGTTAGCTTATTATTTATGGTGATGCCTAAGTTCTTATATGCCTCTGTAATCTGGTGTCCCCGTCCCCCCCCTCCTGAAATCAACAACCACTTCCTTTATTTTTGAGACATTCAGCTGGAGAACATTTTCATCGCACCCATTGATAAAGCTTGTAACTAAGTTGCGGTATAAGCCTTCTCCTTCAGATATTAAGCCAACGATGGTTGTATCCTCTGGAAATTTTAAAATTGGAACGGTGTCGCTCGAGCTTTGAATATCATTGGTATATATTGCATACAGTACAAGGGAGAGAACGCAGTCTTGTGGCTTTTAGTGTCATCTCATTGCATTAGATGTAGATATAGTTCATAGCGAAATTTTGTTAACTACCTTACTTTGCAGAATGCGCATTGATGGACTAGTCTCAGAGAGGATTGACTTCTCGCTAAACTCTCGTACAGGGCACGAACTGTTCAAACTCCCATTAAAAGAACGCGAGAAGTTGAGCCTGCCTTTCATCATCCTTGACGGGGGTCTTGATATTGTGCCAAGGTAAAATGTCATCCCACTAGGGGGCTCTCATATCCCCGGGTTTTCAGTTTTCCCTGAAAAACGGGAAGAAAACCCTCATCCCGGGTTGCATCTCGGGAAATCCCGGTACAAAAATAATTGAATAAAAATATTGAAAAATATCATGTTTAATATGCTCTAAATTTCCAAGAATTTACTTAATTTTAAATCATTTTTTTTCAATACATCGCGGTAAGGGTCCCTTTGCTTATACATAATTTAATAGGAAAACAGCTAAGATCGTGTGGACTAGAGCTACTGAGCTAAATCCTCCAGCACAGTTAACTAGATGTTACATGCCGTGAAAATCTTCAACACTCTGCGACTTGTATTCTAGAAGTTTGTAACAAGGTTTCCCCGTGATTGGGAATATTTCCCGGGAATTCTTTTGTTTGCTAAAAACCGCGCGGAGTCCGGATTCCGGGAGTCCGGGTTACCGAGATTACAGGAGAAACACACCTCCCGCCAAAAAAAAAAATGCGACAACAACGAAACAACCCACTTGCCACCCCAGCCACCACCCTCATTTCCATCCCACCCATCACCATCGGGTTTCGTCTCTCAACAGAGACTGAGCGAATGACAATTTGATAACAATCTTCGAACACACAAGTTTTCAATTTCGATCTAGTCATTGTTTCTTGTTTTGTCTGTGATGCTGAAGTAGGCGTTTAGCTGAAACGTCCTCGCAATCTTCTTGGCCTTTTCATTTTGTTCAAGCCCAACACGTCTCTTGTTCCCTGTTTACTTGTTTGAACAACAGCTTCATTTATCCAATACCTTACACCAACCCCCCGTGTCTTTTCTATTCGATCACCAGGTTTGCAAAGACTAAAGAAATCGGCGCAGGAGTTAGTGTAGAGAATTAAAGAGATGAACGGGTTCAACAAAGCGAAGATTGACAGCACAGCCACGAAACAAACTATTGTTATACACTATGGCATAACGATACTATAACTTGATATAAACATTGTTGTTGTTCTAGATGAGCGTTCGCGGGGGTTCAGAGTGTACTCACAATGATAAGGAAAAATGTCACCAGCATTTGATTGGTGAATTGATGGCTCGAAATAAAAATGCCTTGAGCTCAGTCGAGCTGACGTCATACCAAAGTTCAGAGCTGTGTTGATTGTTGTCGTTATTTTTATTGTTACAATTCCTGGTTAAAATCGATTACTAACTGTAAGTATAACACAACAAGGCTATTAAGCCAAGGGATGGTAACACCTGGCTGGACAGACCTATGGATATCGAGCAAAGACAGCCGCAGACCATGGCAACAAGGACGATATCCATAAAAAATAAATAAAAAGAAGTTCTGAAATGTAGATGAAATGTGGAACAAGTAGAGAAAGAGCGCTGCAGCCAGAGTTTGTGCTAGAACTTGTAGCCATGGTTTGTGCTAGAATTTGTAGCCAGGGTTTGTGCTAGAACTTGTAGCCATATTTTGCCTAGAGTTTGTAGCCACAGTTTAAGGTAGTACTTTTAATCAGAATTTGTGCAACGACTTGAAGTCAGAGTCTGTGCTACAAAAAGAAAGCGTAGCCACATTTGTTCTTCAACTTAAAGCCAGAGTTAGTGCTACCACCAGTAGCCAGAGTTAGTGCTACCACCGGTAGCCGGAGTTAGTGCTACCACCAGTAGCCAGAGTTAGTGCTACCACCAGTAGCCAGAGTTAGCGCAAAAACCAGTAGCAAGAGTTAGTGCTACCACCAGTAGCCAAAGTTTATGCTAGAACTTGCAGAGTTTGTGCTGTAACTTTAAATCAGATTATGTGTTAGAACCTGTAGCCACATATTGTCCTTGAACGTGTAGCAAGAGTTTGTGCTGTAACCTGTAGCCACATAGTGTCCTTGAACGTGTAGCAAGAGTTTGTGCTGTAACCTGTAGCCACATATTGTCCTTGAACGTGTAGCCAGAGTTTGTGCTGTAACCTGTAGCCACATATTGTCCTTGAACGTGTAGCCAGAGTTTGTGCTGTAACCTGTAGCCAGAGCTAGATCTAAAACTTGTCAAGGTTGGTGCTGCAACTTGTAGCCACGATTTGTGCTAAAATATGTAGCCACAGATTGTACTAAAACTTGTAGCCACACTTTGTGCTAGAAGACGTAGCCAGAGTTTGTAGTGTAACTTGCAGCCACAGCTTGTGCTAGAACCTGTTGCCAGAGTTTGTGTAAGAAATTGTAGCCACAGTTTAAATTTTAAGCAAGGATGATATTCACAAATAATATTTAAAAAAAACACGGTGAGACTAATGTGTTGTTACTAGACTAAATTTTAATACAGGGATCTCTTGCCAGCTAATTATGAAAACACAAAGCATTAGTATGGTGATAACCGCGAAACATTGTGATGACATTTTTATAGCCTTAAATTAATGATATTTAGGTGACTAATTGATTATTAGAGCCAAAATAATTATTGTAGGTAGTATCAGGTATATGTTCTAGATTGTAATTATAGTATGAAAGCAAAGGGCACGCAAGGGTCTATTTTTCATGAATTTAGCCACGCTTCCTCCCACCTCCGGTCCGAATTTTCTCTGACCAAATACCATACTACGTGAACAAAACATTTTAAAGAAATTTAAATTAATTTTAAATTAAAATGGTAAAAGCCAAAGTATTCATTAGATGTTTATTAATATTCACGATGATCTCATTTTTTATAATAAGAATGTAAATATTGATACTTTACCCCATCGATGTATGTAGAATGTATGCATGAATGAGATTCAAAATATATAACTATTTGGGTTTCGACTTCGGCCGAAATCAGAAAATCTCTACTGCCAACACTTGAGGTATTCCTGTATCGGTTCAGGACAAATCGTGCTGCCCGTCGCTGGACCGCCTCCAACCTGTCGAGGCTCTTCTGGGTGAATGGGTCCCACACTACAAGCGGGCGGACAAATGCCTTATGGGCTATTTCTTTTACACGGGAGTCGCCGATCTTTAGATTTCGTTTTAAGAACACTAGGGTCTTGTTTGCCTGGTTTCACACATTGTTAATTTGCCCCCCCCCTCCCCCAAGCGGACTTCTCTGTGAATGGTAACACCGAGGTACCTTATTGCTGAACTGAACTAAGTTACTTCAAATTTAAACGTCTTTAGACCCTTCCTTTAATTTCCAACAACTTGAAGTAAGGAGCGAAAAAAAAAAAGTTTTTTGTGTTCCTTTATATTGCTGTGTTAAGTAGAATGGAGATTGACGCAACCACTTATCAACCCTACAATACTAGAATTGTTTTGTTTAAAATCCAGGTTTGTTTGAATGGCCAACACATTTTGAGATCCTTTCCCAAAATAAGAAAGCTATTTGAAAAAATAAAATAATTATCCTGTGGTTTTTACAACTATGTTCGCACCGACTTTCCCCGGGCGGCTCCTGTGAGATTAAGCTCAGCACTGGTGCGCATCGGTCTAAAGTTATTTGCACTCGCCGTGGTGTGACGTCACACACCAAGTCTCATCCATTTTCAGCGTATCTTTTACAGCAATACTTGTGTGTTTGATTGCATAATAAAATACAGTTTTTGGTATCAGCGAGTCCTAAGAGGCAACGCTGTGATTTAACAGGTAAGTCAAAAGAAACGACTTTTGGATCCGATCGGAGGATTCGCGATTTCATTATGAAACAAATTTGCATTGTGGGTAAACAATGTTCCCGATGAAAACGTTTAGTGCTAGTGACCTCCCTTAGTAGACTTTATTAATATGTTGAAAAAAAAAATACCAACAACAACATTTTCGCTGTAACGAGGCTGTTGTCACGTGACATATTTTAAAGAAGGGAGGGGAGACATTAATTACTTCTTCCGAGTAAGAAAAAAACAACAACAATAACCAACAACATAACCACCTTCATGACGTGGCTAAAACCTTGACGTTATTAACAGTCAAGGTTAAAGCAGACTCTTCGCGCCATGACGTCATTTACGTGTTTTATTTAACTTAATAATAATAGGTTTAGAGTTCAGGTAAGGTTTTGGGTTTACGTTAGGTTTAGGGATACGTTTAGTTAGGTTGACCTTTCACTGGTCGTGGCAACCAAGATGGCGGTATGAAAAGAAGCTCGTGTACTACGGCACCAAAAAGATCATAAAATTTCAATAATTAAACTTAAGTTTGAAAAAAAAATAATATGAATTATGCATTTAAAGGTTTCTACAAATCATTTACATTATGATATTGATGCAATGACCAAGCAAGAGGCTGCGCGTGTAAATAGCTACTGAAATGATTCCATGCTTTTTATTCAAACTCGCGATAAAGCAAATTATTAAACTGAAGCCGATGTGTAACAGAAATAAATTAAAGAATTAACTTCAGTTCATTATCAAAATAAAGCCTTTATTAAAAAAAAAAAACCAACAAAAAAAACTACTTTCCTTTCAGAGACCAGAGCAAAAAATTTAAAACTGAGTCACTTTTGCAACGTGAGAAGAAGCTCCAGAATCTCAGTGATGACTGCAACTGAGTCAGGAAGACCCTCCCCGAAAATCCAAGAAAAACTCCAAGAAAAACCCCAAGACAACGCCTCGATGATCTCCTCGCAGAAGCAGCCGCCCGAGAGCAGCATGGGCCTCCCCCAGGTCAGCCTCGCCCCTCAGCCCAGCAGGGTGTCCAACACCCCCGTGCTGACCAAGCTTCCCAAGACCTACGGGGCGCAGGTGAACCTGGGCTCGAAGATCGCGGGACCCAAGCATTGGTTCGGCGGCTTCCACGAATTCAAGCGCACCCATCTGTACCGGCAGCTGATCGCCGAGCTGTTTGGGACGTTCATCTTGGTGTCGTTGGGGTGTTCCATCGTGACGCCCTTCAAACCACAGGGCAGTGACGCTGTAAGTAACGCCGCAAGGTAGTGACGCTGTAAGTAACGCCGCAAGGCAGTGACGCTGTAAGTAAAGCCGCAAGGCAGTGACGCTGTAAGTAACGCCACAAGGCAGTGAAGCTGTAAGTAACGCCGCAAGGCAGTGACGCTGTAAGTAACGCCGCAAGGCAGTGAAGCTGTAAGTAACGCCGCAAGGCAGTGAAGCTGTAAGTAACGCCGCAAGGCAGTGAAGCTGTAAGTAACGCCGCAAGGCAGTGAAGCTGTAAGTAACGCCACAAGGCAGTGAAGCTGTAAGTAACGCCGCAAGGCAGTGAAGCTGTAAGTAACGCCGCAAGGCAGTGAGGCTGTAAGTAACGCCACAAGGCAGTGACGCTGTAAGTAACGCCGCAAGGCAGTGACGCTGTAAGTACCGCCGCAAGGCAGTGACGCTGTAAGTAACGCCACAATGCAGTGATGCTGTAAGTAACGCCACAAGGCAGTGACTCTGTAAGTACCGCCGCAAGGTAGTGGCGCCGTAAGTAACGCCACAAGGCAGTGATGCTGTAAGTAACGCCACAAGGCAGTGACGCTGTAAGTACCGCCGCAAGGCAGTGACGCTGTAAGTACCGCCGCAAGGCAGTGACGCTGTAAGTACCGCCACAAGGCAGTGACGCTGTAAGTAACGCCACAATGCAGTGACGCTGTAAGTAACGCCACAAGGCAGTGACGCTGTAAGTAACGCCACAAGGCAGTGATGCTGTAAGTAACGCCGCAAGGCAGTGACGTTGTAAGTAACGCCGAAGGAATGGAAAAAAAAAAAAAAAAAAAAAAAACTATCGGAAAAAAAACTTT